GGGGTTCCAGCCCAGCCCCCTCCACTGCTTGGATTTTAAGGTCTTGGGAGGACAGGAAGATGAGAGGGAGGGGCTCTCCTCCCGACAACGGGGCCCTCAGCCCAAATCCACATTGGGGGGCCTCCTCTGAAGCCAGACATAGCTAGGGGCAGGTAAAGAAGGAGAGACCACTGACCTCAGGCCAGAAAACCAAGGAAAAGAGCTCCTCTCCCCCAGGGTCACTGTGGTCCCTTTTAGAATAGACTGGGGGAAACTGAGACCCAGAGACCTTTGAGGAGGCCGGCGGCTTCTCCTTGCTGGACCTCAGAGCCTTTCTGTTGAAGCCGGAAGGTCCCTCCTGACTCTGACGGGGTCTGTTCTCCGCTCTAAGCTCCCCCCCCCATCTAGGATTCCACACTCCTGTCCTCAGGCTCTGCTCTTGGCAAGCCAGTACCTGCCCAGCTCCTCAGGGCCCTGTAGAGAAGCTTGCAGGCCTGCAGAAGGCGCGTGACCTTGGCCGTGGGAGAGTAGCCCCGGAGGAGTTTCAGCAGCTTCTGACGGATGCGCTCCATCTCAGACGGGGAGGGGAGACTGAGGCAGCTTCCGAAGGCCGCGGGCCCCTGAGCCCTCGCCAGCCGGAGGCCCTGTGCCAGCCGGCCCAAGGAGCCGTCTTTGGCAAAACGGAGCCTCAGGCGGGCCAGGAGGACAGGCCTGAGGGGCTTCAGCACTGAGCGATGCAGAGACTTCTCTATCACGAGCTCTGGGAAGGGACAAGAGGAAAGGTCCACGGAGGGCGAAGGGCCAGGTGGAGGTAGGGACCGGGGAGAGGAGAAGCGAGGGGGCTCACAGGGTCACAGACCTAGCGCTCGTTGGGCCTTTAGAGGATCCAAGGCAGAAACTGAGGCCCAGCCAGAATTTGAACCCAGGGCTTCCTACAGCCAAGCTCCTGGCCTCTGTCCCATGTTGTCCCTCTGGATGGGGGCACGGGGGAGTGTGATAGGAGCATTTAGGATGAAATGAGTAGGAGAGTGGGGAGATGGCATAGGGGATAGAGGGGCAAGATGGGACTAGAGAAACGAGAGAAGAATGGGGATGAGGACGAGCCTGGGGTCTCAAAGCTGGCGGGGGCACGACTCACCCAGTCTCTCCTCAGCTAATAGCTTTTCTTGGGCCAGCTCAGCCACCAACAGGGTCTGGGCTTGGCTCAGCACCTCCCGCACCTTCTGCAGCTCCTGGGGCTCGGGCCCCGCTCGCACCTGGGTGAGTAGGTCTTGTACTAGTTGTCCAGTGACCGTCTGTCTGTCCTGGGCCAGCTCCACTACGGCTCGGGCCACTTGCCTCTCAGGGGCCAGGAGGGAGCAGAAAGCATCACTCATCGATCGAAGCAGCCGGCGCCGCCGCCCCGGGCGAGGGGACGAGGCCGGGGTCCCAGGCTGGCACCCCTCCTCTTCTGAGCTGCTGGGGGAGCCGCTGTCCACCTCCCGGAGGCAGGGCAGGGAGGGGAGAGGAGGTGTGGTTGGGCCAGCACTCCCTGGAACCCGGTAGCCCCCTGAGCTTTCCCTCCTCAGTGGCCTGCGAGGGGGCACAGTTTGAGTCTGGGCAGGGGGACCCCCAGGGGGCAACGGCACAGGGGGTGGTGGGACAGCAGGGGGAGACAACGGGCTGGAGGTCTCAGTGGACACTCGAACCTTGAAGCTCCTCTTGAATTTCTCCCGTTTGGCCGGGCCCAGATCCCCGGGGAACAAGGGGTTGAAAAAGCAGAGGGCTCCTCCAGTTCCCTGGTCCAGTTCCTCTGGGGACCGAGGCTTCAGTCGGGGGATTGGGGGGGCCTCGGCGGAAGGAGCCGTGAGGCCTCGCTGGGCCTTGCTGTTCAGGGAAGAGTTCCAGAACTCTGGGGAAAAGAGAAGTGAGGCACCCTGAGCTTCGGCTTCCCCATTTGCTGACGGATGGGCCCTGGGATCTTCATTTCCCATCTCTACCATGAAGGAGTTGGACCATCTTGGAGATGAGATCTTTTCCAAGGGTAAATGCCACTTTTCTCAAAGGCAGAAGGAAACCAGGGGAGATGAAGGGGTTCCACTGGGACCCTCCTCTCCTGGCTCTGTGGTTCAGAAAAGCAGAAAGTACGTACCCATTCCTAGGTGAGATATGGCTTCTAGCTCTTTACGGGTGGTGGCTCTTCGGATAGCTCTGGGAAGCTGGAGAGGGAGGAGCAGGATATCCCTGGATGGCAGAGGGGAGCCCCAAGTCAGGGTCGAGGGGAGCCCTGACTGTACTACAGAGAGGGTCCGAGTTGGGACCCGGGGACTTCCTGGATGGGGAGGCGAGGCAGATGCTGGGGAGCCGGCTCTGCGGGCTTTGCATGCTTCGTGCTCCCCACTGAGTCGGGGGGGGGACGCTGGGGAGGGGGGCACCAGGCTGCTCACCGACTGTGACAGTACGCGGAAATGAGCTGGATCAGGTCTGGGAAGGAGAGTTCAGAGCCCTCCAGGGACACGGCTGCAAGGGAGGGGAGGCGTCCATTCTGGGAAGGGGCAGCCCTCTCCCCCTTCCCACCAGCCTGCTCCCCGCCCCAGAACCTCCAGTCCCCTCCCCAGCAGCAGGCCTCACCCTCAGGGCTTTCCCGGATGTCGTGGCTGGAGACAAAGGAAGGTCCAGAGGCTTCAGGCAGCCTGACACACAGGGCCTTGCATTGCCTGGTGTTGGATTTCCGAACCAGGAACGTCTGATAAGGGAGAGGGGGAGGCTCAGAGGACCAGGGCCTGGGCCTCTCCCTCACGTCCTCCCTGCCCTCATCTCCTCTCTGGGTGCTGGTGGGGCATGTGGCCACCTGCCGTGCCTCACCCCGGGGGGCTCCCTCTGTAGCACGTGGAGGGCAGCGGCAGCATTGGCACTGAGCTGGAGCCACACAGGCTGGGTGAGCAGCAGCCGCTCCCGCAGGCTCACTGTGCGCCCGGGGCCCCGGAGCTGGCCGGCCTGCTCCCCTCTGGCCTCGGGGATGTCGTAGATGGGGTCTCTGGCCAGGCTGCAAAAAAGAGACCTAGACATGGGTCCGAGAAACATCTGCCTCCTTTCCCGGCTGCCAGCCTTTCCCCTGAGCCTTCGGGGCCGCTTCTGCTGGGGGCTGCCCTCCTTCCCTGCCAGCCTTCCCACTTGAGTCCCTTCCTCAGCTTCCCTCCCCGTCCCATCTCCTCCTCTCCCCCTCTCCCGTGCATCCTCCTCTTCCTCCTTCCCTCCATGCTAACCTTCCCCCCACCCCAGGGTCATGAGCACACAGTCACACACTCACATTTGCACACATGCACACGCACGCACACGCACACACACACACACACACACACACACACACACACACACACACTCACACACGCTCTCAGCCTCCAAGTTCCCCAACTTTTGTCGGGGCAGGTACCTGGAGGCAGAGCTGGCCCTGGTGGGAGGCAGGAAGCCAGTGCTGGGGGCTTCCCCAGAGGGCTCCATGGCTGGCAGTGGGCTCCCCAGAGCCCCTTTTCCCTCCTCTCCAGCCTAAGAATCCAGGGCCCCGAGCAAAGGCGCAGTCACATTCCCAGTGAGTAACACTTCCTGAAGGGAGCTCAGCCCTGGCACACCCCAACATGTTAACTCTTCCTTGCCCACAGCACCCCTGCCGGACCCACGCAGCGCCAGCTGCCTCTGCTCCTGTCAGCACCAGCTTCTCACCACCTCAAGGTGCTTGGGGACCACAGTGCCCCAAGCAGCTCAGCTCAGCTCTGCCATTCTGGGCTCCCCCCACCCCTCCAAACCTGCAGACAAGAGCGGGTTAAGCTGGGCATCTGCCGTGGGCCCACGCAGGGCCTGGTGACTCACCCACGGGGCATCATTCTGCCCATTCTCGGGTTCAGCCTCCCCCCGCCCAGGAGAGTGCCCCCTCATGGTCACAGGCTGGCTTCTCCCCAGCATCTCTGCTTGTAGCTCCTAGGTTGCCATGGTGAGGAGAGGCTGCATTCCCCCCGCATCGTTGCCATGGTGACCACCCCCCTTCCTGGGGGTGGTACTGACAGCATTAAAGGGGGATGGGGGCAGCCTGGCTGTGAGGTCATCGGTGCACGGCTCAGCTGGGGCCTCTCCGATTTCACCCCGCCCACCCGGATCCTTCCACGGTCCAGTGGGGGGGTGGGGTGGGGCAGGTAGGCTCTTGCCCTTGAAGCGGCTCCTCCCAGGGCACACATTCCTGAGCTGCCCTGCCTCCAGCCGCGGTCTCTCACAGGTCACAGGAACTGGAGGCACCGTCTGGGCCAGAGCAGGCCTTTGCAGAGGAATGGGTTCAGATCCCACCTTTTTTTTGGGGGGGGTTGGAGTTAGAAGAAGTATTAAGCACCTACTATGTGCCAGGCTTTGTGCTAAGCACTTTGGAACCTTACAGCCCTGTGAGATCGGTGCTAGTCTCCCCATTCTACAGTTGAAGAAACTGAGGTGGACCAGTTAAGTGACGTGCCCCGAGTCACAGTCAGTGACCATCGGAGGCCCGGCCGCCTTTTTGTGGCACTCGGTATGACCCTGGGTAACTGCCTTCTTTGGGAGCCGGCAGGATCCTAGGCCGAGGGGCTCCTGAGGTCCCTTCCCTTCTAATCTGTGACGAATCCTGAGGAGAAGGAACAGGAGAGAGCCAAGGGGAGACAAGGTTCTGTCCTGCCCTCATCTGTCAGGAGGACCCTGAGCCCATCTGACCTTCTGAGGTCAATCTGAGATCCGGTCCCGATCCATTTTACAGATGGGAAGCTTAATGTCCAGAGCCCCTGGTTTGCCTGGGCTCACGTGGGCCTCAGCAGTCAAGAGCTGGGATTCCAGGCCGGCTCCTTGGGGTGCCAGCTGGCAGAGAGGGGTTGCGTGCCCTCCGCTAGCTGCCAAGACCATGTCGGCACGACCTTGCCCCTTCGAGGAGAAGGTGGGCCTGCCCCTCCCTTCCCAAAAGGGGAGGTCTCATTAGGGCCTCCCAGCCGCGAAGGCAGGGGTGAGGGACAGGACACAAGAGGCAGGGCAGAGTTGTTTTAATTATTAAATTTTAATTATGTCACCATGATTCTAATCCCCAGGACCCTGGGAAAACCTGGGTTCCTTCATTCTCAATCCAAAAATGTGTCATTTCAAGGAGCTTCTAAGTGACAGCAGAGAGACATCCAGCTGGCCTTGCGCCCCTACCCCCAGCAGCCTCAGGTCAACAGGACGGCTTCCAGTGACCCCGGGCTGACACTGGGCCATTCTAAGAGTCTACTGGCTCCAGGTGAAAGTGACAGGGGATGCGACAGTCCCCCACATCTGGGGACAGGCATCCAGGACACCTGGGTCAGCCCCACATCTACAGCCTGGTGGCATCCCAGTTGTCAAGAGGCCAGATGGTGGAGTCCAGGCCGTGGAGTCATCTGGAGGCTGGAGGGCCCAGGAGCCGGTCCAGGAGACCAAAGTGTCCGGTCAGGCCTTGGGTGCAGCTTGTCTGCCCTTCTGGGGCTAGAAGACATGAAATCAGCTGTGGGCAGTGCCACCTGGGCAGGAGGGTGGCTGCCCCAGACCAAGAAGGTGGGCCTTCTGCAGGGAGGGAGGCAGCATGGCCCTGACGCGTCTAGGTGGGACCTGAGAACAGGACCAGCAGGGCTGTCCAGATGCCCCAGGCAGAAGGGCCAGCAGTCTCAAACAGAGCCCTCCAGGCAGCCCCCATCTGAGGACCAGAGCTGCTCACGGCAGCATACCCAACCTTGTGCAGCTTAGTGGCCAACAGGGGGTCACAGCCAGAGACCCAACAAACCCCCTTCCCCTCCTCCCCTCAGCAGTGGGACCCACCATCCCCAGTAGGACCCCAGCCCACCTCCAGCCCCCAAACACCTGCCTCCCTGGGCCTCCCAGGAAGATTGGGATGGGCGGCCCTACAGGGGGCTATTTATGCTCTTACCCTCAACTTTTCTCTTCTGTGGGGACACAGCCACCTTAGCCTGGTGGGGAGAAGAAAAAGTGCCCTGCTTCCATGCTGTCTCCAACCCAGCACGCTTCCTCCTCTTCCCCATCATCTCTGATCCTTCCTGGATCAGGGATTGTGGGACCTCAGAGTCCAGCTAGGCGACCATGTTTTACAAATAAGTTGTTAAGTGCCAGGCCCAGGAAGCAAACTTGAGAGGTGAGATTTGAACCCAGGGCCTTGCAATCCCACCCCAATGGCCTTCCAAGGGGCTCCTAGGCAGGACGGTGGAAGCAGAGGCCCTGCCCAGGGCTCTCCCACTGGCTCAGGCTTCCCTTTTCTGGGTCCCCTTCACCCAGACAGCTGACCCATACAGTCCACATCACTGACCCAGACGGTCATGCCCTTGACCTTGTCGCTGCCCAACACTGGAAACTCTCATTGTTCTACCCTCTGCCTTGTGTCCCCAGCTCCCTCCCCCCTCCTTCTTTGCTGGGCCATCACCCCTGCACTGGCTTTCTCCTCTTACTTCCCCATCTTGACCCTCTGGTAAGCTCCCCTCCACACCCTGGTACCTATGGCTGATCACGCCTTCCCAAGCGCCAACCTTGGACCCCTACCGCTATCTGCAGCCTTACTGCCTATTCACATGCTGCTCAATGGAGCCAGTGACCTCCAACAGGCCCCTCCCTCACCCACTAGCTTTCCCACGCTTCACAGCAGCTCCTTAAACCAGTGCATCTCTCTCCAAGCCTTTTGAGGCTCCTAGCCCAACCTCAGCCGCTCCTGGAGAGTGGAGGCCATTGCCTGAGAGCTCCCTCTTCCCCTTCGGACCCACCGTCGGTTCCCACGGATCCAATGGTCAACTCCATGCAGCAGATTCTCAGATTTATCCAGCCCTAACCCTGCTGAGCCCCAACCTCTCCGTCCGCCTAGACCCCTCCTCCATCCCACTCACTCAACAGATCCCCTCTGCCAGGTCCTGTTGATTCTACCTTCTCAACGTTTCCAGAACACGCTCCCATCTCTCCCCTGACGCAGCCCTCCCACGGGCCCCCCCCACTCCAGCCGTCTTCCTAAAGCACAGGTCTGACCATGTCACATCCACCCCCCCCAAATAAACTCCAGCAGCAACAAGTCCAGGACACCCAAAGCCCCCTCCCACCTTTGCTGGCTGTCCCCCCACTGGCACACTCCCTCTCCACCTCTGCCTCCTGGCTCCCCGCGAACCTCAGCACAAGCCACCTTCCTATGGGAAGTCTTCCTGGTCGCCCTCAGCTCGAGGGTTCTCTGACACCTGCCCCCCACCCCACCCTGTTTACCCTGTGTGCCTTGTGTGTGGCTCATGTCCTCCACTAGACCAGGAGCTGCTGGAGGGCAGGGGCCCCAGGGCTTTGCATGGTGCCTGGCACCTAGGCAGCACCGAATGCATGCTCGGGGATGGTGACGGTCACCAGGCTAGCAGTAGGCAAAGTCCTGGCCTTCCTTCCTTGGTCCCACAACAGTCCAGTTAACGTACACAGACCCTCTTCCCAAGGGACACTTGGACTCTGCCGTGGACACGGGCGCCTTATCTGGCTCAGATCTAGGCCTCGCTTCCTGGCTGCTGCCACTCCCCACACCCTTCCCAGCTCCCCAGGGGCAGGGATTGTGCCCAGCCCTTAGCAGACTCATCACAGCGGACCGGCTGCCCGCTCTCCCTGTCCTTACAAGGCCCTGGGGGAGCACAAGCCCCCTGGAAAGGCACCAGCTGAGAGAAGCCAAGGCTGCTGTCACCTACTCTACCCCCGGCCACTCTCCTCATCGGCCTACCTTCTTAATGGCCGTCCAGTCCTCCAGAATGTCCACATCCTCCAGCATGTAGACAATGTAAGGACCTGGAAAGGGGCTGGGTCAAGGAAGCCAGAAGCCAGGCCCGGCCACCTACACTGTGCTGCCCACCCCCACCCCCACCATCCTCCAGCTACGTGGATAATCATCCCTTGTGTATGGAGCCTGGCTCCTCTGAGCCCCCCAAGCCAATCAGGGCCAAATCCCTTGTTCAATCACCCTTGGCCTCTAAGCCAGACTCCTGAAGTAGCTTCCTACCCTGGGCCTCCCTCCCCACAGGGCTCCAGGGTCCTCCCACGGCCCAGAGCTAACCATGCCAGCCCAAGGTTAGGAGGCGCCAGGCTCCCGATTCCCCGCCCCAGCTGGCTGCTTGGCATTTCCCAGGTCCTGGCAGTGTGGCAGCCTCTACCACGGCAGCCCGCATCTCCCACCTCCTCTCACACCTCCCACAGAAGTCCCGGCTCCTTCCAAGGCCCAACTCTGGGTCTACGTCCCTTTCTGATGCCAACATCCTCGAGGGGGGCAAGGGCAGTCTGGCCGGCCTCTGTACCTGCAGTCCCAGACATATAATGGGAGCCTACTGTGTGCTTGGTGAATCACCTCCCATTTGTAGTGCTCACATGGTATAGCCCCACAAGTGCTCGAAGGTAAGTGGACGGTTTTTTGGTCCAGGCCTGCTATTCCTTTGAGGAAACCCCCTCCCCTGTTGCTGATACAGCCCAGGAGGACTGCCTTGGGCATGAAGCAGTGACTGACTTGCCCAGGGCTGGACAGCCAGGATGTGTCAGAGACAGGACCTGAACAGGAGTCTTCCAGGGGCCCCCATTCCCAAGGCCCCACACCGCCTCTGCTGAGGCCGGGGCCCCATTTTCACAGGGAGGATGTGCAGGTGACCCAGGTTTAAGCCGGGTTTCTGTCCTTTGGGCCCAGCCTTCTTGACCTGCACACAACAAGGGGCCCCTCAGATTCCTTCCAGGCGTGAGCCTGCTCTCCTGGGCCTGCAGCTGTCTGAAGCCCCTCTGCACAGACCCTCCAGTGGGACACAGGCCCCTCTCGGTATGCCTCCTGGGCCCGGTGTGTACTGGCTTGACTTCAGGGGCCTCCAGTGGGGTGGGGGGGCAGCTAGAGCAGCTCGCTTCCGGCCCCGGGGCCCCTCCAGTGTAAGGATACCAGAGACAAGCGGTGCCTTCTTCCTCTTGCCTGACTGCAGGGCCTCCCAGGGCCTCGAGCTTCCTTTTGGGTGTAGCTTGTCATCCCACCATTCTGGGCCAGAAAGGAAGAGTCAGTAGGCCCCCGCAGCCTCAGGTCGGCCCCCCTCCCCTGCCCGGCCCCAAGGCCTCACCAGAGTTGATGTCAATGCTCTGGCGGTCCTCCTCAAGCCGCTGAATCCGCTCTTGGAGCTCCCCCTGGAGGGCATCATACAGCAGCAGCCGCTCACTCTGAGAAAGAGCCTCAAGTCAGGCTTGGGGAGCCCTGGCCTCCCAGCCTCCGGGCCTGCTCCACCCCCTTTCACTCACCTCCAGGTGCTGCCGGGCCCCCTGAAGCTCACATTCATATCTGTTCCTGATCACATCCAGACAGAAGCCCTTGTAGATGCCTGATGGGAGAGAGAAAGCGGGCCTTGACCAGTGGGCAGTGCCTCTGGCTTAGGGCTCCCAGGCAGGCGGGACCCAAAGAAAGGGGCAGAACGGATGAAAGGAAGGAACAGCCCCAAGGGGCCCAGGGCCAGGACACTCACCAGCCACCTGAATTCGAATCTTGAGACTCCGCTGCAGCCCCCCAAGGGGCTCGGTGTACTCAGGGGCCCGCTCGGCCCCAACCTCCTCGAGCCGGAAACACACCTGGCTCAGCCGCTCCTTGAACAGCCTGAGAAACGAGAGTTAAAGAGTGCTGTCCACCTCTACCGTCTCATTCGACAGAGAGAGAAAGTGAGGCCCAAAGTCACCCAGAAAGTTAGTGGCGGGGTCGGGACTCAGACCCAATCTTCCAACAGTGCTTCTGGTGCCAGGGCAAGGTCCTGCCAGCAGAGCGGACTGCCTTGGGGGGAGGGGGTCAGGTCAGCTCCAGGGGCTCCAGGCACGCCAGCCTCTGAAAGCGGAGCAGGGAGGCAGCTTCCCAAACTCACTTCTCCTTTAGTTCCGAGAACTGCTTCTCCAGGTCAGACATCTCGTCAAGGCACTCGACCCGGCGCCGCTCACAGTCCTCATCGTCCATTTCTGCAGGACAGAGAGCCAGTCGGTCCCCCACAGCAGAAGAACGGGGGTCACCCCGGGCACGGTGGGGGTGGGGCACCAGAGGGCTTACCTGAGCTCTCCCCATCGGACTCTGTCTGGCTAGCGCTCTGCTCGTCCTCGCTGCCCTCCTCCTCCAGCCCATTCATCTCCGGAGCAGAGTCCCCGTCCCTGTCCCTGTCCCCCTCCATGGTCCTGGCTTCTTTGCCCAGAGGCTGGCTTGGCATCGTCACTCTGAGAAGAGAGGGGATCTTTTGGGACCACTGGCGGCCAGGTATAAGGCCCCACAGAACCTCACACTAAGACCAACTCAATTCTGTAAAATCACGAGGTTGGACAAGGTCACCAGTTCTCTTCCAGCCCCAAGCCTCTGGTCCTCCCAACTCCAAGGCCAGGGATGAGCTGGAACCTCAGACATGGGGGTCCACGGGGGGGGGTATGACAGCAAAGCTGCCACTTCAGAGAGGGTCAGGGCTTTGCCCAGGGTCACACAGCAGGTAGGTGCCAATGGCCAGAAGGAAACCCATCATGATAGTGGGTGTTCAGGCAAAGGTGAAGAGCAAACCCAGGGAGGGGAGGCAAGTTGCCAGGCCCGGGGGCGCAGGGGGCCCCCCCGGGTTCCTTGATCTGCATACAAGGAGGTCGAGCTAGACACTTGGGGCCCTGCCCGGCTAGTACCAGTTCATCCTCCTAGGCCTGAGTTCAAAGCCTGGCTCTGCCACATAACGAGGATTTCGGGGAGCGCCGGACAGAGGGATGGCCTTGGGGTCCGAAAAAACGGGGTGCAAATCCCACCTCAGACACTCAGATAAGTCACTGCCCCTCTTTGCCTCAGTTTCCTTTTCTGTAAAATGAGGATTGGACCAAACAGCATCTCAGGCCCCTTCTCATCTGAAATCTATGTTCTTTCAAGTCACCTCTGGTGGGCCTGTGTTTATTAGGGGCGTTCCAGAACAAAACTAAGCACCAGGGTTACAAAGGAAAGGCAGAAATAGTTCCTGCCCTCAGGGAGCTTATATTCAAACATTTCCAGGTAAGTGGGGTGGGGAGCAGACAAAGGGGAGAGGCCTCAGCAGAAGCAGGAAAGGTAGGAGATGTGGGGTGGGGCAGAGCCAGCCAGGGCAAAGGCAAAGAGGGGAGAGGGCTGGGTGACACTAAGTCCTGTCCTGGGAGAAGGTGAGCTCAGCCTGGGAACCATCTAATCTTTCCTCTTCCTAGGCTCCGGGCTGAGTCACACTGCCCACAAAGAAAGGTAGAAACCAAGCTGGATTCTAAAGCAAGACGCCATTTAAAGAGGCCCAGGTCCTTAGCAGAAATACACTAAGGCCAAGTGAGTCTGGCCAGCTTCTCTGCAAGGGAAATCTAAGACCTGCCCCTCCCCCCAGACTCCCCCTCTAAGCAGTGGGAGCCCAGATTCCCAGGGGGCTCCAGGGCCCACACGACCCGAGCAAATTCCAGGCAGATGAGTTACAGGAAGCCGCCTTCCACACGAGACCTTTTTAGAGCCAAAATTAGCTCTTCCGGTGCCTGTCAAGGTCAATAAAAAATAATAACATTGACATAGCACTGGCAAGAAACAAGCACCTACTGGGTGCAGGGGCCTGTGCTGAGTACTTTACAAACATCTCATTCAATCTTCACAACAACCCTGAGAAGTCAGCGCTGTTATCCTCATTTTACAGCTCAGGAAACTGAGGCAGACGCAGACGGACAAAAGTTAAGTGAACTTACCCAGGGTCACATCACACATGCTACAAGTAAGTGTCTGAGGCCGGATCTGAATCAGGTCCTCCTGACTTCAGGCTGGCACTCCACACAAGTCAGGTAAAGTCAGGTGGCTTTTGCCAGATCCTAACAACCCAAGAAAGCTGGAGCCTGGGAGTGGGCATTAATCAGGGACATCTGCGTTCAGACCCAGCCTCAGACATTTACTAGCTATGTCACTTCACCCTGTTTATCTCAGTTTCCTCACAGAATAAAATGAGCTGGAGAAGGACTGGCAAACCACTCCAGGATCTTGGCCAAGAAAATCCCAAATGGGGTCATGGAGAGTCAGGCAGGACTGAACAGGAACAAATAACATAGAGTCCTAAGCTACTGCTTGGCAAAAGTCCTGCTCAGGTCCCCCAGGGGAGGCCTGGTCTTGTCTAGAGAATTCAAAGCAAGCTGGACAGTAGTCAAAAGGCCTGGCCCCACCTTTGATTAGTCAGCAGGACCCTGGGCATGTCCTGATGTGTCTGGGGCCTCAGTTTCCCCCAGCTCCCTGGCATTAGCACAACCCCTGTAGCGTTCCTCCTCAGTAAGGAAGCCTGGTGAAGGCCCACAGAGCATGCATTGTGGCAGGTCACGATGGCCACATCCAGAACCAATCCAGAACCACGGAACCTGAGAACTGGGAGGGAGCTGGCAGCCTCTAGGCCAGCCCACTCTGAAGGAATTCCCCTTATAGCTACAGGACAAGTGGCCAGCTAGCTCCGTGAAGCCCCCTCCACCTGGTGGCCCATTTCACCTCCAGCCTCAACAGGCCCCCTCCCCTTTTCAGCCTCCTGGGGTCAACAGACTGTAAGCCCCTGGAGGGCAGGGCCGGCGCTTAATCAAGGCTGCGGAATTAAGTCGAGGTGGGAGTAATCCCGACGTCCAGCGCGGAGGCGGGGCGGCCAGGGAGTGTCCGAAGCCTCCAGTGTCCCTAACAGGGGGCCAACGTCGGACGGCGGTCTCAGGGGCAGCCGGGGAGGACAATTTTACAGAGAAGGACACTGAGGCTCAGAGAGGCCCAGGGGATCCCACACCCTCCTCCCGCCCGGAGTCCATGGAACCTGCCCGGGCGGCCGCGACCCCCGGTCGCGCCGCGGGGAGGGGCGGGGGGGGCGCGCGGCCGGGACGAACCTTTGGCCGGGGGTCCCGGGTCCAGGCGGCCGCTACGGGGGTCCGGGGTCGGGGGGACGAGACAGACGCAGCCGGCAGCCGGCCGTGTCCCGGAAGTCTCGCCGGGGGCCCCGCCCCCTGGGGGAGGGGCAGAGCACACAGGGCCCCGCCTCTCGAGGAACGCGCGGGAACCCGCTGTTGGTGCGTCATCAAGGAGCGCCGAGCCGCGAGGGAATCTGGGATGCCGCCGGCGCCCCACGTTTCCATAGCAACCGGGAACGCTCCCCTGGTCTTTTAACTTGCAGAGGTGCAGGACCGTGGGAATTTTCCTCTTCCATCCTGCGCTCAGGGACTGCAGCCCCAGGGCCCGTCCAGACCTGAACCCCCGCGCTCCCGGCAAAGCGGCTACAGCAGCTGCCATTCCCACCGCCCTCTAAGGTTATTACTCGCTTTGTACAGAGGGGGAAACCAAGGTTCCTAGGAAGGCAGGGACACAATAAAGAACAAAGGACTTCAGAGTTTGTACCGCACCTTATAAAGCTATTCTCTCCTTTGGGCCTCCCAACAACCCGGGAAGATAAGTGATTTGCTCAGACCCGGGGTCTGTCATGACTTCGAACCTTCACGCTGCTGGTGGAAGGGAACAACACCGAGACACGATGCTCCACGTGAACACTGGTTTATTGGCATATTGTCATTCAAGTCAAAGTTCCTGGCTCTGTACCTATTTGGGATGGGGGCTGCCTCCCATCAAAGGGGCTCTCTCTCCATCCAGCCTGATTCCCAGGGCTGTGCCAGTTCCAGAGGCCAAACCTTAGAGCTGGAACAGGTCACCCAGTCCAATTCTCTCCTTTTACAGACATGTAAACTGAAACTCAGAGAGAGGAAGGGATATGTGCTCAAGGGTCACCCAGCAAGTCCGAGGCAGTGTTGGGGCCCGCGTCCAGGACTCCCAACCTCCTTCCTTCCCTTAAACCATCAGATTCAGAGGTGAAGAGGACCTTGGTCATCTGGCCCAACTCTCTCATTTTACTGATGGGGAAACTGAGGCCCAGAGAGGGGAGGAGAGTGGCTCAAGATAAGCAGTGGGGACAAAGGGCAGGGACCTAGGGATATGCAGAATGATGGACTTTGGGTGACTATCTCTGAACCATGAGTCAGGCTTCCTGAAGTCCCCACTCCCTTTCCAAATCCCTTCCTGTCCCCCACCCCCAGAGAATCTTACCTCTTGGCTTGGTCGCATCAGTGCTCATCTCCCACCTAAAAAAGGCCCACCCCAGGGTGAAGGACTGGGTCAGCCCGGCTTGCCTCCCACAGGCTTGAGGGGGAAACCTGCCCAGCCCTGCCTTTGGAGGCTGCTCCCTAGGTGGGTCAGCAGCTCAGCATCTCCTCGGAGAGTCTGGGTACTTCATCTTTAACTCCTGTTTGAACTGGCGGAAGAGGATTTTGTTCCGTTGATTCTCTGCCTCCTTCTGGGGGTGGAAATCCCCTGGCATCTTGAAGCCCTTGTGGACCAGGAAAGCCTCATTCAGCACCTCAAATTCGTACCCTGCCACGTGGAGCTCACAGGCCTGCGAGGGAAGGGAGAGGGGAAAGGGTTCAACTGGCTACCCTCCTGCCACCCCCCCCTTACCAGACACCCTTCTTCAGGCCCCTTTCCCCCAACTCCAGGGAGAGAGGGACTGGCACCTGGCTGATGCGGTTGAAGCCATACTGCCGAAACCTCTCATCGTAGGAGGGCACTGCGCCTCCTGCCACGTAGAAGGGCTCCCAGGGGTCCTGCCAGGTCACTCGGTAGGCAGGGCGCAGGGGTCCCCCCGGGGGCAGGGTGAGCCATCGAGAGTAGTTGGTGGGGGCCTGGCATCGGGGGCACAGTTCGGCATAGAATGGGCGCACGTGTCCCATCTTAAGGAAACGCATCAGCTCGATCTTGGTGCGGGGGACTCGGACTCCCTGGCGGATCTCGAAGGCCGGCACCACTAACGCCCGGCCGGCCCTGCCCTCACCCAGAGCCAGCAGCTCCAGCAGGCCGGTCCAAAGCCCATCGCTGGGCACCATGTCCACGTCCACGACGAGGGCGTGGCCGGCGCCCTCTCGGGCCACGTTCCGTAGCAGGTTGTTGGGGTAGGAGACGTTGGTGGCCAGGGCATAGTTGCGGCCTGAGCGGCTTCGGGCGCCCATGCTCGTGAACACGTCGCTGCAGCTGCTGATGCGAGCGAACTCGCCTGGCTCCCGGGGGTCGGGTACGGCGGCCTCGGCGCGCGCCGGGCACACGAGGTGCATGGTGAGGCGCTCGCGCACAGCCTGCGTGCAGAGCGCGCCCAGCGCGTAGGTCAGCACCGTGGCCAGCTGCGCCTCGTCCGGCCGCGCGGCGAACACGGCCACGGCCAGGGGCCCGGCCCAGCGCTCCAGCAGCGTGCCCACGTGGCCCAGGTTGCTGAGGCTGGTGTGCGTGGCTAGCAGCAGGGCGTCGCGCGGCCGGCGCGAGGGGTCCCCCAGCACGTGCCGATACACACGGTAGTCGCCGCTGGCGTCCAGGGCGCCCCCGGCGGCCAGCACGGCCCGCAGCTGCTCCTTGGCGCTCTCCGCGGCGCGGCGCTGCAGGCTGGCGCCCAGGGCCGCCCCGCCGGGGAAGAGCTGCCCGTAGCGGCGCCGCTGCTCGCGCCCGTGCAGCCCGGCCAGCAGCGACAGGTAGACGAACTGCAGCAGCGCCACGGCCAGCAGCGCCGCCAGCGCCAGCTTGTAGGCCGAGCAGCGGCCCGCCGCGTGCCCGCCGCCCGCCACCGCCGCCGCCACTGCCAGCGGGTTGGGCATCGCGCGCCGCCCGGGCCGGCCGGGGCCGGGGGAGGACAGGGGGCTAGGAGGCGCGGAGGGAGGCCGAGCGGGGCGGAGCGGAGCGGAGCGCGGCGCGGACGCTGCTGCCGCCGCCGTCCCTGCTACTGCGGCTGCGGCGGGCCGGGCACTGCGGAGCGGCCGGGGAGCGCGAGCTCGCCCTCTGCCCAGCAGGAGGACGCACTGCAGCCTCGCGCTGCGCCGCCGAGCGCCCCCCGCGGCGAGCCCGGGGGCGGCTGCGGCTGCTGCTGCGGCGGCTCTGGCGCACAGATACTTAGACACAAACGTACAGTGTGCCTGTAGATGCCCCGAGAGGGAGGGGGCGTGCTGCCTTGTTTGCAAAGGCAACATTTCTGGAGGGGGGACAAGGCACAGAGTGGTGGGCTTGCAAACGTGCCCTGCGCCTTCCTCCCGTCAAAAAAGAAAGGAAAGGAAGAAACAATCGTGGTCGCTGCGAGTACTGAGGGAGGGAAAAGCTGCCTTGCTTGCTGCTCCCAGTAAGTACCTCAGGCAGCGTGCTTTCCCTGTCACAAAGTCCCCCGGCTACCCTGGGAATGCAAGGAAGGGGACAAGATATCTGCAAACCCACTTTTCGGGTGGAATGTCCACTCCACTAGGGAGGGAGGGAGAGAGGGAGGACACGGTGTGCGCGATGCAAACAAATGTGGACGCGGAAGGACATTTCCTGACACCTGCTCCCCGTTTGCAGGTCCCCCCCTCGTTTGTATTCCCGCTTCAGTCCTTCCGTGGGAGGAGGGACGTGGCCACAGCCGTCCGCAGAGGCTTGCGGTGGGCGGGACGTTTCCTGGTGGCCCGCTTGTGGCTCGGGAGCCCGGGCGGGGCCGGCTGGAGGCCCCACTTTGAAAAGAAAACGCGAGCGCGGGCGCGCGGGGCGAGCTGGTGGGTCCCTCCCGGGAGCCCCTGCTCCGCCGCCCCTCCTCGCATCTGGCTGGGGCAGGGGGAGGAGGAGGCAGCACGCGCCTCGGCCGGGCGCAGGGACAAGGGGCTGCGCGGAGGAACGAGCCCGCGACGGGACGAGGTGGCCGAGTGGTTAAGGCGATGGACTGCTAATCCATTGTGCTCTGCACGCGTGGGTTCGAATCCCATCCTCGTCGTTCACCTTTTACGCCCGCCCCGCAGTCATTTTCCTTCTCGGGTTCCCGGGAAGCCCCTCGCTTGGCCCAAGCGCTGCAGGGCCTCCCCACCGTCAGGAGGGACCAAGCCCACTCCCTTTTGGTTCCTGCTTGACCTGAGCCCGGAGAAAGGAGGACCGAACCACATGAGTGACTGGTGGCTGCTTCTCTCTGTCCACCTCGTGGCCCTCCTGCCCTCGCCTCCGTGGCCCCAAGCCCCCAAGGTCAGCAGGAGGGGCTTGGGCTGGGGGGCTAGGGGCCGGCTGTTAATTTAGCAAACACCGATGAGCACTGAGTGGGCAGAGCCCTGAGATGGCCAGGGGGAGACAAAGTTGGATTAAGATGGGACTCCTGCCCTCATGGAGCTTCCAGTGGAGTAGGGATATAAAACACACACACACACACACACACACACACACACACACACACACACACTCTCACAATACATACACACACTGACATACATTCACACACACACGTGCGCGCGCACACACAGAAGCACATAAATTTATAACTAGAAGGGTCCATAGAGCTCATCCCACTTTACAGATAAGCAAACAGACCCACAGACTCACCCACTGCTTTCCAGACTCAGCACAACTTTCTTCCCCATAACCCTTCCCCATCTCGAAGCCTCCCCCAAGCTCCCTGTGTATGGAATCTGCATAGACTTACATGTACACACGTGTTCTCTCTCCCTTGGGAGGAAGGTGACACTCTTTGGGAGCAGGGATGGCTCCATTTTTTTGGTTTCTGCAGCCCGGGTGCCTGGTGTACAGTAGGCGCTTAATTAACGCTTGTCCACTCATCGAGCCTCAAGGCGGTTTTGTGCCCAGTGCCTGAAGCTGGGGCCCCAGGTTCTGGCTTCAGCTCCTGGTGAGCAGAACTTGGGTGACCCCCAAGGAAGATCTGACCCCCAGTGCATCTCTTTGGGGTGGGAGTCTGTCTCCCTTGAAGCCAAGGACAAACCCTTGCTCATTCGTGGCCGAGGAACTGAGGAAAAGAAGGGGAGCTCCTGAATTTCTTGGACCATAAGGCCAGCCAGAGACGATGCTCACCTGTCAAGTCCCTGCGAGGAGAGCTGAACACAAGAGGACACTCCCCCCACCCAGACTAGGAACAGCCAGCATTTATTAGCATCTTAACATGGGCAAAGTTCTTTACAGACGCGCCCAGCTAGTTAGTGTCTGAGGCCAAATTTGAACTCAGTAAGAGTCTTAATGCTCCGGGCCCAGCGCTCTGTGTACTGTGGCGCCCCCTAGCGGCCCCAAAGTCATATTGCCGCCTTTTTATTTGCTGTCTTTACCTAGTAGTCATTTATGGCTCCCCTCTCTGCCCCAGCCAAATGTCACAAAGACCCAAGAACAGGGTCTGGTTGATCCTAGAGTCCCAGGGGTGGGCCCACATGTGGTCCTCTAGGTCCTCAAGCGCGGCCTTTTGACTGAATCCACACTTCCCAGAACAAATCCCCTTCATAAAAGGGTTTGTTCTATAAAACTTGGACTCAGTCAGAAGGCCACACCCAAGGACCTAGAAAGCCACATGTGGCCTGGAAGCTGCAGGTTCCCCACCTGTTAGACCCACGGCTAGCAGCCCAGAGAGGCCATCTGCTCTCTCACATTTTGTACATGCAGAACCTGGCTTCAGAATTTAAGTGACTTGCCCAAGGTCACACAGCCAGTATGGGAGGCAGCCATACCCTCTGAAGCAGAGATAGGAGGCAGCTTGTACCAGTCAGCCCCTCCCCCCACCATCATTGTGACTCCGTTTCCCTTCAGACCCTGATGAAAACAGCCCAGGACTGCACCCAAAAGCCTGGGGAACAGTGATGCTTCCAGCCCCGTGTTAAATGTTCAACCTCAGAAATGGTGGGATTGTATCACTGGAAATGACATGAAAGAAGAGGCCTGACCGTTTGCTTTGCTGCTGTCCCCTAAGGACCATGGGACCTTTCCATCCATCTGTCCACATGTGTTGTCTCTCCCGTTAGAATGGAAGTTCCCTGAGGGCGGGCAGTTGGCCTTCTTAGTCAGGGCTTAACAAGGTGCTTGGCACTTTCAAGTGCTTAAATGCTTAGTCATTCATTCAAGTGTCTGACGGGGGATTCTCAGCCAGCTCTTCCTGCCTCCAGGCCAGACTTCTGTCCACAGCACCAACACCACCTTCGGGCTTCATTTTTGTGCTTTTCCTTGCCATATTTGAATTTTCCAGGACCCGGCCTCCAGGTCAGAAGGGCTGGCATCTGCCTTGGCCTGGTGAGGCCACGCACCGCTAAGCCAGAGATCCTTCCCCGCCCCCCCACCCCTCCCCCCACCAGGCCCCTGGCTTACTACAGACCCAGCAGGCATGTCTTCCTTACACTTCATTAGGGTGGGGCTGCCATTTACTTCCTCTCTGTCTCCTCTCTTTGCCCACAGAGGGGACTCCATGAGGGAAGCCTAGCTGAGAATCAGTTTAGCCCATGTTGAGGGCATTGGGTGTCCAACACAGGGCCTTGACTGGACAGAGCCAGGCTCAAGCCCAGGGCCAGAGGTTGCGCCAAGGAGTGGGGCAGCTCTGTCCAAGAAGAGGCACAAATAGCCAGACATGATGTAAAAAGTAAACCATTTATTGCCCACACCAAACATCATTTCTCTCCAGAAGTTCTGGGGTAGCTGACCTGGGGCTCCTTGGGGGAAAAGAAGGGGGGAAGCCCAGCCTGGGGTATAGACTCCCCAATCACATGGGGGCCATCAAAATCAGAGTCCAAGCTGCCTTTTCTCATTTGTGGGGTAAACTGAGGACCAGAGAGGGACATCACTTATTCGAGGCTAAAAGCTAAAATTTCCCCTCCCCTGGTATGTTCCATTCCCCTGGCCCCCCAGAAAGCCTCCCTCAGCCTCCAAGCCTCCACCCCAGCTATGGCCTTCCCTTCCAGATGACCAAGCCCACCATTCCCAGACTGACCCTGGGCCCCTGTGTCCACACTGTTAGAAGTACTTTTCTGATGGAGCGAGGGCCCTCCACCTCTCCTTCCTTCTCTGCTCTGTCCTTCATGTCTGTTACTGTTCTGCTTTACTGGAGGGCAGACCCTGTGCTTGCAGTCCCCAGTGTGGAGCACCAGGCACCAGGTGCCTCTTAACCACTGTCACGTTGGAGCTTTTGTGGAGGGGATCCTACCTTCCTTCTAGATTGTGAGCTCCCTGAGGGCAGGAGCTGGGTGAGCCCCCTGGCAGCCAGCACATGGGAAAGGGCCCAGCTCCTACTGTGTGATGGGCCTCCTAGTCTATTCTTCCCTATGGGTGGATCTGGTCATCCCTTCTTAGCTGGCCTTCCTTACCTTCCTATTCTGTTACATGCCAATGCCCCTGTCCAGGGTCCTTCCTGATCCCCAGCTGCCCAGCTCAGCCAACACTCTGGCCCTCTCTGATGCACTAGCGCTAGCTTCATCTTGCATATATCCTATATTATCTGTGAACATGCTGTTTACCCCAGATTGGTTATCTGTGCTTGTGTCTTAATTCCCCCAACAGGACTATAAAACCCCCAAGTGCAGGGGCTTGTTTTCTTTAAACTTTGTGTTTCCTTCATGCATATACTAGGTGCTTGATAAATGTTTGCTAATTGAATGGAATGCTGCTCTCTGAGGAGCTGAACTCCCCATTTTTCTCCCATACCCACTCTGAACTACAGTTTCTTCATCTGTCAAATGGGGACAATGCCTGCCTCACCCAGAAGTGGAGAGGCTGTTCTGAGATGCTAGCAGAAGTGCCTTGAGAGAAGGTAAAAACTCTCTGTGTAAGTGTAAGTGTAAGAGAGCTTGCAATGAGCTCCTGCTCAGCTGCTGACTTCTCAGGCCACAGCCTGGCAAAGGTAAGGCACCTCCTGCAGAAAAAGGGAACTGGTTCTGGCAGGCATGACAGCACCGACTAGAAGGCCTGACTGACTTCCAGAAGCTTCTCCAGATCCCAGGGCCAGGGAGGCAGCCTTGTGTACTGGGCAGCAGCAGGAGCAAGGCGACCAGGGTGCCAGGGCCTAGCACAGGGGGGCGATAGGGCTTCTGGACAATCATGGCTGCTTTTTCCCTGAGTCACTGGCAAAGCTCCAACCCTACCAGTCTCTGGCACTCTGTCCCCAGTGTGCGCTGATCTTTCCCTGCCGAATGGAAGCTCCTTGAGGACAGGCTCTGGGCCCAGCACAGGGCCTGGCACATCGGAGGCCCTTATGGCTTGCAGATTGAGTTACCCCTTCCCTTCCCAGGAGTGATGGAGCAATGAGGACTTCCTGGAGCAGGCCCTGAAACCCTGAAGTGGGGCCTCGGAGCTCACCCCTGAGCTCAGGGTCTGAGGTGGTGACCACACCAGTCACTAACTCAGCTCCCAGCAGCAGCTAGCAAGGCTCACCTTTGGCATAGACCTCACTGGTAATGCTTCTATGGGAAAGGAAGGTATTCAGGGCAAAACTTGGCATTACTTCCTCCCCTCTCTACCTACAGGCTCACTTTACCAAAGGGAAGATCCCCAGTGAAATTCCCAACTTCCCCCAGGGCTTGACCTAGGAGCTCCCTACAATGATGTGTCTAACAATGTCCAAGGCAAGGGGCTCCCCAACAGAAACCTGGAGCTTCCCCAGGTCATCTGGTCCATCCCCCTGCCTCCAGGGCAGGTCAGCACCTAAACCACCAGTCAGATAGCCCCTTTTGAGAGCTATTGGAGGGTTGCCCAGGACCAGGAAAAGCTGGGGGTCTTTCATTCCCCTTAACAGCCTATTAAAAGTCTGCCAAGTGACAGCCCTTTCTTGGCAGGCAAGCGAGGGAGGCCATTGGCTGGTAACAGCTCCCTCCCAAGAAGCCATCAGGTGTGGAGGACAGGTGTTGAGATCCCTCCATGGAGTCTGCCTGTCCTCACAGCCTGCTTCTTGTTCCTCAGTTGCCCATCTAGGACCTGTTCCACATTCTCAGCTCTCTCCTCTCCCAAGTCCCAAACCTCACAGCCCCTGGAAGGCTCCCAGCCCCATCCAAGCAGGGCAAGGAAGGAAATGGGGCTGTCTCACAGCAGGGATTTGAAGAGGAAGGAGAGAGAGGCCCCGCAGGAGAGCCCTAGGGCCAGGAAGAAAGTCATCAGAGCTCCAGCCGCTTCACTCTCATGGGGCAGGACCTGCCTGCAAAGGAGGGGGAGATCAGCTGTCAGAGGACGGGCCCAGCTCCCTGCACTCCCCACACATGGGCGTTCCTTGGCTCCGGGGCCCAGTATCTCCCCAGACCAGGCACTAGCCTTCCCTCCAGTGGAGGTGGACAGCACAGAGATCCAGGCTCTCTTCTATGCCTGATGCCCTGGGTCCTTTCTAGCTCTGGCATTCTGGGGTGTGCAATGCCTTCAGGCCTCTGAGGAAATGCTCCTAGCTGTTCACTCAGGGTCATTCATTCCTCTGCTCCCCAAGCAGAGTTGGACAATCCCTTGTGTCTCCTCTGTCCTGGGGTCAAGTCCATTTCTCAGCCCTCTCACTGAAAGGTAGGCCCTGGCCTTGGACCAGGCTGCTCGCCTTTCAACCAGCAGGCCCCTAAGGCAACCTTCCCAAAGGCAGGCCTCCCCATCAGTGAGGCTAGCAAGATTTGGCTAAGTGCACCTTGACCTCAGGGAGGCTGGTGCCACCCCCTCTCCCAGCAAGAACTTCCTCATGCTACAGCTGGAAGGGCCCTCAGGGATCACCAGTGGCCAGGAAGGGTAAGGACCTTTCCCAAAGTCATCTAGCTGGTTAGTGACCAGTCTGGGACTCCCACTAGGCTTGGACAACCTTCTCAGTCCAGTGGTCTTTCCACTGGAGGAGTGCCCAGTGAGGAGCTTTTCTCTGCCCTGCCATCTCCCCACATCCCCACGCTCACCTGGGCGCCAGGCACATGGTGAGAGACACCAAGTAGCCATTGGAGAGTGCAAAAAGCAGCATGAAAGTGATGAAGCAGGCATCCTGCGGGAAGAGGACGGGCAGGTGGGACCGCTCGGGCACGTGGCACAGCATGAAGAGGGGAACAAACAGAAAACGCAGGCAGGCCAGCAGCGGCAACAGGCGGCCATCCTGGTCCGGCTGGGGGCCAAGAGCAGCAGAGCGCACCCTTGGTCACCTCCATCATCCCAGCCAGACACCTCCCGCCAGGCCTTCCCTGGGGCACAAGCACAGGAATCCCAGAGGAAAGGCACAGAGACATTAGGCTCTCTGGGACGATCAAGGCCGAGCCCCTCACTTTACAGATGGGGAGACAGAGAGTGGAAGGTCCCACTTGGTTCCCAGACAGCCGGGGTGGGGGGATTGTCAGCCTAAGGTCTTTTGCCCTCTCCTCCCATGGGCTTGGGATGCTCACCCACAGGAAGTAGGAGGTCATACTTCTTCCCAACCAGTCCATGGTATTGAAGAGCAGAAAACAGCAGATGGGGTTAAAGAACTGGCCTGAGGAGGGGAGAGGAGGACCCAGAGGCTCAGGGGAGAAGAAGGGCCTCACCCAGCTGCTCTTAAGTCTCATGGATCGGGGAATCCTAGATCCAAGGATAGAAGGGAACTTTCCATTTGACAGATGAGCACACTGAAGCCCAGGCAGGGGAATGACTTGGACAGGGTCACCCAGCTGGTGTCTGGGATGGGGAAGCCAGGCCTTCCAGACTCTGGGACAACCCTCTGCCCACTGGGCAGCTCTGCCTCCCAGACCCGTGCCCCAGGTTTTGAGACTGGCTCTCCCTGCCTTCCCTAGTCCCCCGCTGTGTGCCCTCTTCACCCATTCAAGGTCCCCTCCTTGGCCTCAGCTGCCACCCTGACACTCACTCCACTTTCCAGGGCCCCTGGAGCTGGTCACCATGGCAGTAATGGCCGGGAAGACAGACAGGGTGACGGTGAACACCAACACGATGCACAGAGCCATCACCCAGATCTGCAAAGCAAGAGAGTCTGGGTCTGGAGGGCTTGGGGGAGGGGAGGCAGCAAAGCCCCTACCCCCACCCACAGACACCCACTCAGGGAGGAAGGCCAGGCAGTGACAGACCATAGCCACCTGGGAGCCTCAGGTCAAGCCAGACCTGGCTAAAGAAAGGGGAGGGGGAGCAGAAGTCCCAGAGGTGCCTCCTCTCAGATTGGGGTGTGGAGCAAACCTTTCTGAGGACGACCAAGACTGAAGCCTTCTCAAGCTTGGGCTCCTTCTCTGGCTCCATCTCTAGGGCCAGCCTGGCTTTTTGGGGACTCCCGGCAAAACCATTCTTCTCATCTGGGGAAGAGGAGGTGAGTCAGGCTAAAGCGTCAGTCAAACTCCCTTCCAGCCACATAAGGAACAGGCAGAGAAGGCCGGCTCCAAGGAGCGTAGCCCAAAAGGCGTCTTCCAGGCCGCCAGTCCCACGTCACCAGTTGGCCGATGGATGTTACAAAGAGGATGTCCCAGAGACATCTCAGACTCATTCCAGACCGAACTCCCTGCTTCCCTCCCCAGTCCCCTTTCTCCAAACTTTCGTGCTTCTGCCGAAGGCACAAACATCCTATCAGGTTGTCAGGTTTGGAGTCGGGGCACTGCCCGGCCTTGTCACGCTCCCTCACCTGGGTACTTTTGTACCATCTCTTGTATCTTGTCCCCCTTTCCCTCCTACAATTCAGGCCTATGGCCTCCAGCGCAGGCTATGCCAATGGCCCCTTCACTGATCCCCCTGCCATGTCCAGCTTGTATTCTTTGCTTGGGGATATAGTTCGACTCTGGCGATCTGGGTTCAAGTGCCATCCATGAGCAAGTCCCCTTAAACTCCGTAGGCCCTAATTTCCTCATCTTTTAAATTAGAGGGTTGGACTCTATGGTAGGGGAGGTCCCCTCCAGCTTGGACAGTCCCTGAGCCTGTGCTAGCCTGAATTTCTATCCGGTGGATCTGTGGAGAATGAATAACAGTGATATCCCACACTGATATAAAGCTCTGCAAAGTCCTTCACACCCCTACCCTTCGGGCCTCTTAACAGCCTGGTGAGGCAGGTGCTGCTATATTCTCCGTTTTACAGATGAGGAAACTGAGTCTGAGAGAGGTTAAGTGACTTGCCCAGGGTCATACAACTAGTAAGCCTCAGGGCAGGATTCCAACCTGGCGACAACAGTTGGGTCATTCCAAGCCACTTTGAGGAAGGTGCTTTGGAAGTAGCCAGGGATGTCCAGACCGGAACACCATACAGTATTGTTTGCCTCGTGGACAGGAACCCTTCCCTTCCCTTCCCTCCCCTCAAAATGTAGCTGAGAAAAGAGGATTTATGCACTAAAGCATAACCCGGGACAGCAGACGGGGTGAAGAGGGCCAAATGAGGACGAGTAATGATAAATTACAGGAATTAGACCGTGTTAGTAATATATTAATTTCATGTAATTAATGTGTTATAGTTATTAATATTGTATTGTTTATATTATTGTAACAATAATATTATTATATTTATAATGATAGACCTCTTAGACACCCCCGTGAGGGAGGCAGTGATGAAATTCTTATTAACTCCATTTCACAGAAGTGGCCACTGAGGCCCAGAGGGAGGAAGGCTCACACAGCCAGTAAGTGCATCTCCAGGGCTCTCAAGTCCAGGGTCAGAGCTCTTTCCTCTAAGCATCCCAGGCATTCCCAGGTAGCTGAGAAGTACACAGTGGGCTGGGAAGGCGGACTTCTGGACTGAGAGGGCCCTCCTGTGCCCCACTCCCACCTCCCCCTGCCATCCTCAACCGTGCGCCGGCTCACCAGCTTGGAGCAGCTCGGCCCTGGTCTCCAACTCATAGGCCTGCGGGTGGGACACCTTCTTGTCCAGGTAGTAGCGGGCAAACTCCTGTAGCAACACAGAGGCAACCAGGCCTTTGTGAAGGGCATGAGACTCCGCTCCACAATGGGATGGCCTGTCCTCAGGGAATTTACAATCTAGTAATCTAGGGACCCGGAGACAACTCCAAAAGCCAGTCTCCTCATTGGGTCAAGCTTGGCCCTAGGGTTGGAAGGGACCCCCAGAGCCAGCCATGAGATCATGAGAGGCCAAGGAAGAGACTGAGGCTCAGAGTGGAGAAGAGTCCAGAGAGGTCATGACCTAAAACAATAGAATCATAGAGCTAGGCCAGGAGAGGACCCAGAGGTCACGGATTCCAGCCCTCTCCATTTAAGAGGGGGAAACTAGGGCCAGGAAGTGAAGGGACTCGTCCGTCCAAGGTCACACAATAAGTAAGTTCCAGAGGGGAGATTCGGACCCAGGTCCCCAACTCTAAAACCAGGATCCTTCTTTCCACTGTACCCCAGTCTCCCTCTAAATGTGAAAGACTGAAGGAAAAGGGGATGAGTAGGGTCCCTCTGGCTGGTTCAGAAACCAGAACTGCAGGGCCTGCCTCCACCTTTACTTTGTGTCTCTAACAGGGGCTCACCCTCCTTCAAGAGACGGCATGCTGCTGGGGGAGGGGACCCCCACTTCCTGACTCCACCTGCTCTGGACCCCCCAAGCCAGAGCCCCTGCAGCCCCTCCTCAGAGCAAGAGAAGCCAGGCTTGACTTCCCTGCCCTGCCCTCGGCCCCCCCAGGTCAGGAGGTAGCTAAGCTGCAGTTGGCCCAGGGGTGCGGCTTCACAGGCTTCCGGCAGAGGACCTGGACAGGTATGTTGGCTCACCAAGTGGGACAGGGACAGGTAGCAGGCAATGGAGACAAGGGTTCCCACACACGGGGTGATAAAGTATCCGAGGGCTGAAGTCTGGGCATCCACTCCACCTACAATGGGAATGGGAACTGAGAGCCCAGCCCAGAAAGCCTTGCCCCAGCCCCTGGCTCTCTAAGGAGCTCTGCTCCCGTCCTAGAGCCTTGCAGAGCTGTGACTCCCAGCCCCTGGCTCCCAAGACTCCCAGCTCCCAGCCAAGCCAACTCTCATCTTGTTGCATTTTCTCCACCCACTACCCTGAACCCAGAAGTTCCAGCTCAGTCTCCAGCTCTCCCTTCCCAATACCCAGCCTCCTTCCCAACCAGAGCCCAACTTTGTGCCCACACTCACTGGCCATGGACATCAGCATAGCAAGAGCAGCAAAGGTCCCTGCTAAGCCTTGGCCGCTGAGGAAAAGAGTGCTGTAGGTAGGGGGCATGGCCCCCAGCTGCCCAAAGAGGCTGCCCTGGAGGATGGCGCAGAAAGCTGGGGGGAAAGCCAAACCATGGTCCTCACTGGGCATTGCCCCTGAGGGAGCAGAGCAGTGAGTGCCCTGGCAAGGGGAGAGGCTGGAGTGGCCAAGAGCCTGGGGGCGAGCTCCTGTTCTTCTGGGAGGGGTCCTGTGGCCAGGGTTCAAAGTCCATGGTAAACTCTGTAATGCTTTCTGCACAGGACAGAAGTAGCTGCCCAGATACTCTTTTCGAGGGGACCTAGCAGTGTCTGCCCAGGCCTTAGAACCTTCAGGAATTCACTTTCCTCCTCCAGGAAATGGGGATGACAAATCAGTTTCTTCCTCTTTAAATGAAAGATCCCAGCACAGCTCTGAAATTCCAGGTTCTAAGGACCATTCCAGATCTGGCATTCCATGTTCTATGCTCCCCCCACCTCTGACATTCTAAGGTCCTTCCCAGTCCTGACATTCTAGGTGTGGTTCTATGTTCTAAGGTTCCTTCAAGTGTTGCCCTTCTAGGTTTGGTTCTAGGTTCTAAAGTCCACCTCAGTGCTGAAATTCTAGGTTCTTTGTTCTAAGGACCATCCAAGCTCTGGCATTCCCTGTTCTATGTTCAAGGTTATCTCCCAAAGCCTGGTATTCTATGCTCTATGTCCCCTCCCAACCCTGCCATTCTAGGTGTGGTTCTAGGTCCTAAGGATGCTCCCAGCTCTGATGTTCCATATTCTAATGACCCTCCAAGTTCTGACGTTATCTTTGTTCTGTACTCCCTAACGCTGATGTTGCACGGTTGCAGGACTGTCTTAATCTGAATCCCCAGGGGGAGGCAGGACTTCAGTGGAGAGGGCTCAAACAGCACTCATGTCACTCACAGTTGATGAACCAGATGGAGGCCATGGTGATAGAGAAGAAGAGCTCAGGGCTCATGTCCACTTTGACCAGTGCAGCAGTCAGGACGAAGAGCATCAGAATGCCCAGGAGGCTGCCGAGGATGCGCACCATCTCTGGGATACTGTGCATGACCAGAAATAGCTGGGTGCCACTAAGAAAGAGCCAGCTTTGGAGAGGATAAGGAAGTGGCTGAGAAGCAGTGTGCATGGCTGGGTGGGGCTGACTGAGGAGGAAGTGGCAGAGAAATAGTGTGCATGGCTGGGTGGAACTGACAGAGACCTTATGTAGCTGTCTTTAAGGATCATGGCTGAGGGGGCGATGGCTAAAGGGACATAGTAGGGGTGAAGTGAAGGAGTAAGTGTACATGGGGTGGGGTTGAGGCTCCCCAGGGATGTGGAGCTCACCACTGGTAAAAGAAAGAGTTGAGGAGAGTGAAGAGTAGTAGAGGCAGCTGGGACAGGAGGGTCATCCAGTTGTTGAAGTTAAATGCATCCCCAGGGCTTGTGATGTTGGCATCACAGGGCTCCCCTGTGACATTGACCACGGCTAGACGAGCCTGAAAGTACTGAGAGGGGATAGAGAAAGAAGCCAGGGTCACCTCCTGCATAAAGTCTCAGGAATGGCCAGATGGTGACCTGGCCAGTCTGCAACCAGGAGCCAGACCTCAGTTAGAACATGACCAGAGCCTGAAAGAATCCCAGAAGGGCTTAAAGAACCAGAGAAGCCCGGGGCCACAATGTGGTGTAGACTGAGGATTAGGAGCTTTCTATCAGTGTGACCGTGGACAAGTCTCTATCCTCCATGGGCCTTAGTTTTCCTTGCTGTAAAATAGGACGGTTGGCATAGATGGCCCCTGAGGTCCCTTGGGAGCCTTAAATCTACGATGTCATGAATATGAATACAGAAGCATTACCCACATCCCACCTCCTCGGGGTCTCTGAGATCCTCCCCCCCATCCCGGCCTTCTCTCTTGGCCTTGTCCGTCTGTCTGTCGGTTAGGCGGTTACTCTTACCGGAATGGCAGTGATAAAGAAGTTCCAGGGCAGCAAGGTCCCCAAACCAAGAATAAAGAAGCTGGTCCCGACCAGGTGGTAGCTGTGGGGACCGGGGTGGGTGGGGGAGGGGGGAGTCAGAAACCCGGAGCATCCCCCAACCCCCTCGGTAAGAGTGTGAACTACAACTGCCAGCGTTCCCTCGACACTGGCCTGGACAGCCCAGGGCTCGGGGCTGATGGGGGTTGTAGTCCGCACCCCGCCACCCCGCCCCGGGTTGAGGACTTTCGGTCTTTCCCCAGGGTGTCGGCGCCCTGCGCCCGGTGCCTGACTCACCTGTCCTCTGGGGCGTCTCCTCTGGCCATGGTTGGATTTGGGTTCAAGGGTCCAAGTCAGAGGGAGGGCGTAGATGCTGGAACCGGGATGGAGCAGATCTGGGCAGGAGGCGCGCCTGGAAAGGAGCCCACGTCGCAGCAGAGGCGGGGTCTGGAGCCGGACACCACGGGGGATGAGGGAACCAGGCAAGGCTCTCCGCCCCCCCCCCGCCCCGGCTGCTCAGCCCAGGCTGCGCTCCGCCCCGCCTGGGTGGAGGGAGCTGGCGCGGGGCTGTTGGGGGTGGGGAGCAGCTCATACCTCTCTCTGGCCGGGTGTTTGCAGCCCACCCCCAAGGCCGCCCCGCTGATCCCGCCGCCCCAGCCTCCAGGACCCCGGCGTCACAGCCCCAGGCTGTGTCCCCCTGCAGCATCTCTCGCACTCACCTGGCTCTCCCCCCCCCCGCCCCCAGCCGGGACCCGGGCACCTCCTCCTAGTAGCCGCGGCTCACCTGTGTCCCCCGCGGGGCCGGAGGACACCGGGCCCCGGGCGGGACGGCCAAGGACAGCGGGGACAAGGTGGCAGCTGCCAAGCTGCTGAGACTGCGGCCTCCCTCGGCCCGAGCCGCGGGGGGGGGGGGGGCACGTGACGTTGGTCCCCTTCTGCTCCCCGGCCCACCGAGCCCGCCTCCCGCGGCCGCCCGTCAGCAGAGCTGAAAGATGCTCGGGTGGACAGCTCCCAGCCCCACAGCGCTGCTCGCCCCCTTGCCCCACGCGGCCTCTGGTGGGGTCCTGGTATCCTGGCCCCAGGCGTGACCGGGAGGGGCCGGGCCGGCTCCACTAGCAGAAAAAGTTAAAATCCTCTTTGTTTCCCGCTTGGAAGCTATCTCCCCACTGCGGTGGGGATGAGGAAGTGAGCCCGGGCTCCTGGGGATTTTTGAAAACCCTTTGCCATCTGGTTCACGCCTGCCTTCAGAGGCTGGTTTCACATTAGCCAACTCTGCCCACCACACACTCAACACCAGTCATAGCGGCCTACTGGCTGCTCCCGACGCAGCATTCCATCTCTGCACGGGCTGTCCCCGTGCCTGGGGCTCTCCCTCTCACCAATGCCTCTGGGAGCCTCCAACTCCCTTCGAGGTTCAAAACCAGGACCAGCTCCTGCGGGAAACCTTTGCTGACCCCCCCCCCCAGAGGTTAGCGCCCCCCCCCCCATCACCGCCAGCTCCGGTTAATAAATCCTGTACTTACTGATATGTAAATAAATCTATTTGTACCCCCCCCCCACCAACCTGTTTGCAGCCCTGCCCCTGCAGCTATCAAGGAGGGAAGAAATCTTTGTGGAGAAGACACTAACCTTCCTTATCAGCAGCAACTGCTGACCGACTGCCACAAACAGATAAACCCGGGGAACGTCAGGGAACAAATATTTATTGTATCTGCTATGTGCCAGGCACGGTGCTAAGCGCTTTACCAATCTCTTTTGAGCCCTGGGAGTGGCAGACCCGCCCCCCTCCGGTCCAGCTTCTAGCCCAGCCCTCGAAGACGTCTGCAGGTGGGCAGCTCCTACGGAGAACGGGGCAACCAGCCCCACCAACTGCCAATCAACGACCACCCACCGGGCAGGCAAGCCAACTTAACTGAAGCAAGGAGGTTTCCTGAGAGTTAAGTGGCAGCATAGGCCACCTGAGTCAAACCACCCCCACCACTTTGACCACCATCTCCCCCCAGACCCTGATGGGGACAGCCTAGGCCTTGAGCCCAAGAGCCTTGGGAAGAACCTGATGGGTTCCCTCCATCATCCCCCTGGGCAGCAACCCCTGAGAACACTAAGCCTGTGAGGGTTGACTTCCTGCAGGAGCTGCAGCCACAGCTATTGAAAACCCAGAAACTGGTCTGCTTTGATCAATGGAAAATGACATTAAAGAAATGACATTAAATTGATGAAATTGGGCATAGAGGGCTGGGCCTGGAGTCAGGAAGATTCATCTTCCTGAGTTCAAATCTGGCCTCAGACACTACTTACCAGGTGACCCTGGGCAAGTCACTTTGCCCTGTTTGCCTCAGTTTCCTCATCTGTAAAATGATGAAGTGAAGGAAAGGGCAAACCACTCCAGTATCTCTGCCAAGAAAACCCCAGATTGGGTCAGGAAGAGTCGGAACACAACTGAACAGCAATGCAATCATCTGCTTTGCTGCTGCCCCCTAAGGACTATGGGTCCTTTCCATCTGACTTGTAGCTGAAACCTTCCATATGTGAGGTCTCCCCTGTAGACTAGGAGCCCCTTGAGGGCAAGGACTCTCTGGTTGGTTTGTAAACATGCAACTTAGCTCAGTACTTTCACATAGTTAGTGCTAAATAAATGCTTTATTCATTCATTAATGTGAATATATCATACCTATCAGGGGAATGTAAGCTTCTTGAGGACAGAGATGGTTTCATTTTTGTCTTTGGATTTTCAGCTACTCTCTGCTTAATAAACATTTGTTCAATTGTTTTTCAGTTGTATCTGACTCTTCATGACCCCTTTTGGGGTTTTCTTGGCAGAAATACTGGAGTGGTTTGCCATTTCCTTCTCCAGCTCATTTTCCAGATGAGAAAACTGAGGCAAACAGGGTGAAGTGACTTGCCCAGGGTCACACAGCTAGTAAGTGTCTGAGACCAGATTTGAACTCAGGAAGACGAGTCTTTTTGACCCTAAGTCCAGAACCCTATGCACTGGGCCACCTAGCTTCCCAGATTGAATTGTTGAAAGTCCAAGGCTGCTCCTATGCACAACTCAATCATTCTCAAGAGAATGGCCTCAGTGAGTCACCTGTACTCAGGGCACTGGGTGATCTTAACACCTCATCAAGAATCTAGGGTCCAAATCCAAAATATGTCCATGCGGATGTCCGGAGTGGCCACAGGGATGCATCTAAATCCAGAACAAAGGCTTCATCCTTTAGCTTTGCTGAGTTCATGGGGTCATCGGTTTGGAGGGCATAGAAAAGTAAAGAAATTTTTCCCAGTTCACATGGCTAGAAAGTATCAGGAATGTAATCTGAACCCAAGCTCTCTAGTTCTACCTCGTGCCTCTTGACTCCTCCCTTTCGGTCCCTCTTTCCACAACTGTTATTTTCATCTTGTTGAAGAGGAAACGGAGGCTCTAAATGGGGAAATGACTTTTCCAAGGACACATGGTAAATTAGTTGTAGATCTGTGTCTTGGAGTCCCGTACAATCCAAATCCAGGCCACTTTCCTAGCATGATGATGATAATAATAAAGTCAAGAGATATAGAAACTGGGCTCCCTTTGGGATGGCGAGGACAGGCAGAGAGGGATTTATGATTATGGGCTAGACCAGGAGAACCACATAGTCCCTTCCCAGCAGTCAATTAGAGGTACAGCAAGTGAGCCTATATGTGTGGAGGAGAACAATGTGAGCACCTTTAAATGTTAGAGGAGTTTATTTTGATCCTACAGGTTATAGGAGCAACTGGAATTTAATGACTAGAGATGGGAGTAACAAGGTAAGATCTGGTCTTCAGGAAAATCCCCTTGGCAGCTGTTTGGAGAATGGACAAGAATGGGGAGAGGCTGGAGGCAGGGAGGCTTATCCCGGGATAGCCCAGACAGATGTAATGAGAACCCAAACTACAGTGCTGACTGGGTGGAGAAGAGGAAATGGTAGCAAGAGAGGCTGGGGAGGCAGAATCAATAAGCCTTCAGAACTGATCGGAGCTATGGCACGAGAGCGAGGAGCTTGTGAGCCTGGAAGAACGGCTGGGACCCTGGGATCCTAGGGTCCTTGATAGGTGCCTTTGACCACATCTCCTCCCAATCTCTCCAGCCAGTTTCCTCCACTATCATCTCCTCTCTCCCCCTCTTCAGGTTTCTTACCTGCTGCCTGCAGACACATCCATGGCTCATCCTTTAAAAAAGCCTCACTTTCTCACTAACTGTACATACGGACACCAACCATCACCAAGAAGTTCTGCTGGTTTTTCCTTCCTGACACCTCTTGTATCCCTGCCCTTCAGTCCACACATGCAGCCACCACGCCAGCTTAGGGCCTCATCACCTCCTGCCTGAATTATTGAAATGGCCTTCTGATTGGTCCCCGTTCCAGGCCGTCCAAGGGGATTTGATTAAGGCCCTCCTCTTCATTATGCTCTGGTGATTCCCTATTACCCACAGGATCAAATATCAAGTCCTTCATAATCTGGCCCCTTCCTCCTTTCCAGTCTCCTCATCCATTCCTACCTACCTATGTACTGCCCAGTGTGACCATACTGGCCCATTTGTTGTTCCACACAGGACGTCCCCTCTCCTCTCTCTCTGTCTTTGTACTGGCTGTACCCCAGGTATGGAAGGCTCTCCTGAGCCTCCCCTTCTAGAATCCCTAGCTTCCTGTGATACCTTCGTCAAGGGCTACCTTCTGCACTGGAGCCCACCAGCTGCTAGGGTCTTCCCCTCTAAGACTACTTTCCCACTCTTTCTAGGTTGTTTTCCTCATTAGAATGTAAGCCTCTTGAGAGCAAGAACTGTTTTTGCTTTGTTTCCCCCTAGTTCTAATCTTAACACAGTTCCTGGTGTTGAGGTTTAGGGGTGCTGGGACCCCAAAATAGTGACATAGGTCCTGCCTGAATGAATTTGACCTAAGCCTTCTTTCAGCCAAAGTTTATGAGAGCACTGATTGGGGTGATTGAGATTCCTAGTGAGTCTGTGCTATTGGCTAGATTTTAAGAATCTGAGCACCTTATTGGTGCCCAAGGTGGATCTTATATACAGAAAGACTGTGGGAGGGATCTAGGAGTGTCCAAGTAGTCTGGGGTGACTGTGAGGAGGGGTCTAGCAAGAATATGGATGGGGGTGGCCAGTAAGCTGGGGTGTCTGGGAGGTAGAATGCCAGGGACCTGGACCACAGTGGCCAAGGGAGACTGGAGTCTAGATAGGATTAAGAGTGAGAAGTGGCCAAGGGCAGTTGGGAGGTAACAGAGAATTGGGAGGTTGGGCAATTGAATGAAAGGGCAGTTGAGAGGTTTACAGCCTCAGGTGAATGCCAGAGACTTGGGAAAGTCCAGGGCTTTTCCTTTTAGGGGTTCAGATCCCATCCCCATCACTGGCACATAAAAATGCTTAGTACTTGCTTGTCCATTGATCTGGGCCACTTTAACCTAGCAGATTGGAAACCCAGTGAGGAGGAGGAGCAAGGAGCCCGGAAGTAACATTCCTGGGAGGAGCTTGGCCCCAGCACTGGAGAAGCAGGCCAGCTGAGGAGCAAACCATTATTTTGAGTCATTACGCATCCTCCCTGGACTTGCTCACTCTCTCCACTAATAGTGTGTGTATTTGTGGGCATACGTGCCCTATGTCAATGGCAGCAGTGTTTCATTAAATACCTTGGCTTTGAATTAATTGTGACCATTGGCTGCCTAGGGAATCAGAAATCAGTCAAAAAGCATTTATTAAGCACTTACTGTATGCCAGGCACTGTGCTGAGTCCTGGATAAAAAGAAAGGCAGAAACAGTCCCTGCCCTCAAGGAATTCCTGTTTTAATGGGGTGTACAAAGTGCAAACAAGTATGTCATCCAAGATAAACACTGGAGGCAAAGGAAAGGTGGACCCACCAGTAGGGACTCATGACTGTTGTTTTCAGTGATTATGAACCCCCAGATTATCTTGAACCTGGAGCAGACAAGGGTGAGAGGGAGTAAGCCATAGGTTACACACTGAGAAGGGAGGGAAGGAGGGAGGAGAAACTCTGGAGTTTAGAGGTCAATGAGCACCCAGTTCTGAGTGGGAAGCTCAGTGCTTGCCTGTCCTCAAGGGTAAAAGGAGGTGAGGAAGAGAGACGGTGATGAGTTTTAACTAGCTCAGGTCCCATATGGGAAGGAAATCAGACACTCTTGGGTTATTAGCAGTTAACAAAAGGAGGTTTACTAAGGCATTGTCTATAAAGGATACTCAATAGAGAAACAGCCCTTAGGTGCGGCTGACTTTCCCTCCGTATAGAAATGAATGTGATCAGCAAGGCAGGGGGTGGTGACTCTTGGGGTCTTGGGATAGCTCCTAAGTGTGAAGAACCCTGACTCCCACTGAGCAGACCTTTATATGTCCGTAGGCGCCCAGGAAGTCTTGCTATACTGGCCATATTAAGGCAGGAGGCTGCCTCAACATCTAGGTGACTTGAGCTGTGGTCATTTGGACC